GGCATCCACCCCGCTCTAGGCAGGCCTGGGCCTCTTGTGACTGCCCCCTTTCTTGCCTCCCCCACATATGTCTTTACCCCCTTTCATGCTGCCTCCCACACAGATGAGCTTCTGCCTTAAAGCTCCCCCCCCCCCCCTATTAATCTAGTTCCCCGAAGCCTTCCAGCAACCTACAGACTGGTTCTCCCCCTCCCCTCCCCTTTCCTTGTGGGCAGTTTCATGTTCTATGAGAAAGAGCAGTACTGAGAGCCTCTTTGTCTGGTTCTCTGGTCAGATTCTGCCCCTTTGTGTGCATGGCATTTGCCACGTATACCTGTGGCCTCCTGTGAAAACAACAAGGAGAGCTGGGGTTTTGGCCCCTGAACTGGTAGGGCTTGCTATGTCAAGAAACACCTTGCCCTTGCTGGTGCAGGTGGCTGTCTGCACGCTCAGGTACAAAAACAGCCCTTCCCAGAAAAAGTTGGTGTAAATCAGATTGTTTTAAAGGGAGCTCATGATTTAAAGAATCCTGGGAAAGACCTTTTCTGATCAGAGGACGATTTCTCCCTAGCTTATTATGTGCATATTTGAGTGGTTTATCGAAAAGAGGAACTGCATCCTTACACACACACACACACACACACATACACACACACACACACGCCTCCCCTTTCCCCCCACGAACATACCCCCCGTTCACAGTTCTCCTTCCTCCATCCGGGATAGGAGCAATGGGAGGAAGTCCTGGCAGCTGGGACAGGGCTGCACAAGGGTGATGCACCAGACACCAGGAAGGGTCAGATGTCCAGGCTCATGGAGTTAGTGTTACCACATGCGTGATGTGTGAGCATATTTTTACTGTAGGGGAGGAGTAAGCCAAGCCAGCCTACATCACTCCTAATTATATCTGGTAGGTCATGCAGCCTCTGCAAGCCCTGGAAGCTAGTGGAGAATTTTAACAGCAAAGTGCAGGTGGTCCCCAGAATATCCTGAAGCTTGTGAGGCTTGTCTCTTGGTTTGGCGGATATGGTGTGTACAGACCCTTCTCAGATGGGAGGGTTGGATTCATTGTTCTTTGTCTGTTCTCTGAGGCCTCCAGTCACTCAATGCAATCTATTGGTGCTTCCATTAGGCCAACTGAGGCCTCTGCCCGCCACAAAGCTGCTGGCCCCCAGGAGCACTGTGAAATGTGTGAGCTAAGAGCAGGGAACCCCCACACAGAATGCTGGTTGTTTAAAACTATTAATCAGGGACAGTGTTGGTCCAGCCCAGCAAGTCGTTTTTATCAGACTGAGCGTAGATCATTGGGTGCTTTGAAAAGGAGTAAGCTGTCTCTCATTGGAAGAGTCCAAGCAGATCCACACCTCCACTCTCAAACCCGGATGGTCAGAAAGGATGATGTGTAAAATCTAGGATCTGTAAGTGGGGGCTGGACCTTCGTGCGGTATTACAGATGCCCACCTGGCGAGTGCAGGCAGGGTCGAGCCCTAGAAATCCAAAACTGGGCATTTGCTAGGCCACTGTTTCTTCAACATGATTGACATTTTTTAAATGGTCTGCCTTCAGCAGTCATTACTTCAAGGAGTTTTCCCTCATTATCTGTACCCAGGTGACTTTCTCCCTTCTCTGTATTCTATAGCATTTTATATACTAGAGGCCCAATGCCTGAAATTCACGCAAGAGTAGGCCTTCCTTCCCCTGGCTGCCGACACCAGCTTCCCTCTGGCACCCGGGACCCGGGCTTCCTTTGCAGCCTGAAGGCCTGCCTTCATTCGATCTAATTAGCATATTACCCTTTTATTATTATAGATTTTGAATGAACTCTCATGGGCTTCTTTTTATTCTTTTATATGTATTTGTGTTCTCATAATAAACTTGTGTAGCACAGGGAGCAAAGGATTTGTCAGACAGATAAGTGAGATTATGAAGGGACTGCTTATCCAGATGAGAAAATAACCACCTATATAATCTGTCTTTTCAGAAGTACCATTTCCATGAAAGTCTCTGAATTTCAGACCTCCTAACCTGGTTGCTAAAAGGCATCTGGCGACACTGATAACCTAGTTCAGGTTTGTGTGTATACTTGAAAATTACCTAGAGGTGTCTCCTGAAGAGTTTATAATTCTAAATCACAACCCCCAGGGATAAATGGACACTTTCTATTTTGGAATCCAGACAAGACAGAAAACAAAACATCAAAACAAAGACAGAGAGCATTCGTTTGCACCCCTCTTTTGCCCAGCATCTTCTTAATCCAGCCCCGTCTCAAAACCACACGCTTTAGTGGAGGGGGAAGTCAGGGCGGGAAAGGGAGATTAGCTGCCACCTGTCAGGGCCCAACACCAGCCAGTAGGGGGATTTAGGGATGGAGCAAGAAGTAGAAGCTAGAGGACAGGGGTCAGGATCAGCCATCACTCTGATTTTTCCTGCTCATGGACTCAGTCTGTCGCCACCATTGTGAGAACAGTTTGCCTGTAAACCTCTTCATTGCAGTTTCCTAAGTAGCCACAAGGTGAGGATGTGGCTCCATGAAAATCTGTCCCTGCAGGACTTGGTCGCTCATCTCTGTCCCTCTACCAGTCTCTTCCCTCTTCTTCTCTGTGTGCCTCTGCTTGGTGACTTGCTCCCTCATTGGTTCGTAAAGAGCTTAGGTTCGTAAAGAGCTTAGGTTCACACAGCTCTAGATTGGAATCTCTCTGAGCCTTGGTTTCCCCGTCTCTGAAATGAGAATAAGAGGACCTGCCTCCCATGGAAAACGCACTTTCACATGCTGCTGGTGGGAGTGTAAATCGATGCCATCCCATAGAGGGCACTTGGCAGCATATGCCAAAGTACGAATGCAGGTACCATTGGCCTCAGCAGTTCTACTTCTGGCTATTTATGCTGTGGGGGTGCTAGCATGCATGTCAGTGATGTGTGTTTGTGGTCATTCACCGCAGCAGTTTGTAACAGCAAAAGATTGGAAATAACCCAAATGTCCACTAGTAAGAGACCGGTGAAATGAACTATAGTGTGCAGTCTTACAGTGGACTGCAGTACTGGGCAGTGATACGAAGAACGAGGAAGCTCTGTGTAAGATTTTGTTTGATAGGAAAGAAAAGCATGCCTTATACATTTTGCTATTTTTAAGTTAAAAAAAACGGGAGAATGATGAAATAGATTTTTGTGTTTATCTGCATATGCATCAGATGAGAGATACACAAAATTAATGAGACTGTTTGCTTGTTTTTTGTGTTTTGTTTTGTGTGTGTGTGTGTGTGTGTGTGTGTAATTATCTAATAGTAAATATTTTGCTTGATTTATAAGAAAAGTAGGTTGCTTTTTCTTCTTCTCTTGGACTTTGTTCCTTGTAACTTATTACACTGATTCTGGGTCGCACACGGCCCCCTTGATAGTGGTGGCATTAGCTGGCACTGCCAGGCATTGTCATGGTGCCCTGCATGCTCTGGCTCGTTTTAGGGAGGAACAGGGACAAGAGCGGAGGGTACATTTTATTTTTTTATTTCTTTTCCTTTTTTTTTTAATTAAGGTATTATATGTGTACATATGTTACCATTGCTCCCCCCACTCCCATATACATTTAATTTTTCAGCCATATATTGAAATTGTCCAAAAAAATAGTTTTCCTGATTAGTTTATGCCACAAGTGGTGGTTGTGAGAAGCAGGAGTACATGTGACGTGTGTGCTCTTCCCTAGGGAGGCCCCTGAAGTGGCTCGGAGCCTCAGGTGCCCAGGCAGGCAGGCAGGACCCTCCCGTATGGATGGTCTCGGGATAGCTGTCCTCACATAGTTGTGCTTCCTGTGTGAGCTGAGCAGGGTAAGCCCACATACACAGCTTCCTCCATTTTCTCAGTCTTCCCACCTCCTTGCTATCACTCACCTCCTGGTGCTTAGGAAACAAGGCTATTTGTGTCCAAGTTTAGCTTTGGGGTTGGCCCACTGTACTTCAGGCAGCTGCTGAAATCCTGGGTGCTCGAGGATCCCTTGTTCCCCTTCGAAGTCCTCCCATAGTTGTGCTCCCAGCAGCAGCCCTTGCCTACACGCTTGGTCTCAGGGGGTCTCCTTCTGCTCCCAAAGCTCTTATAGCAACAGACCTGTTTTCAGATCTGCCTCCTATGTGTTCCTTCTTCCCTCCTTGCCTGCTGCCTTGTGTATCTCTCTTTTCACAACCTGCCCCACAACCTGGGGCATGGTTTCTGTGCTTTGAGAGGGTCCTGCCTTCTCTGCAGGGCAGAGTGGCACTGAGGGAGCACCCTGGGTTCAGCCGAGGCCTGGGTGTGCCCTGACTTGCTCTGCAGAGCAGAGCGGTCAGTGCCAAGCCAGAGCCACCTGCTGACATTTCAACAACAGATCCACAGCTGGGCTGGCACAGGCCAGGCCTCTTGCCCAGTGGGGCTGGGCTGAAGGGACAGGGACAAAAAGGTGACTTTAGTGAGGGCTAAGCCTTGACTCAGATTTGGACCTGCAGTGGCCCTCCTGCAGAGAAGGCAGGACTGCTGGAGCTGGCACAGGCCACATGAAAGTAGAGGACATGTTGTGTTCCTGCCTTCTTCGGAAGGGTTTGGGGCCAAGGAAATGCTGAACCTGGGCTTTTGTTCTTCTCTAAGGAAGTAGCCATCATTTGTATATTTGTTTTCCTTTGGTCAAAAATAAAAAGGTTTTCTTAATCATTAAAAAGCAAGGTTGTCTTGCCGAAACTGGTTTGGCTCAGTGGATAGAGCGTCGGTCTGCGGACTGAAGGGTCCCAGGTTCGATTCCGGCCAAGGGCATGTACATTGGTTGCGGGCACATCCCCAGTAGGGGGTGTGTAGGAGGCTGCTGGTCGATGTTTCTCTCTCATCGACATTTCTAGCTTTCTATCCCTCTCCCTTCCTCTCTGTGGAAAATCAATAAAATATATATATATTTTTTTAAAGCAAGGTTGTCTGGACACAGATGTAGAGAATTTACCTTTTTGTCTCCCTTTCCCACTTTATAGGCAGCCGAAGGCTTCAGGGAATCCAGACCTAGAGACGCATCAATGGCCCTGGGAGAAGAAAAGGCAGGGGTGGAGGCATCCCTGGACTCAAAGGCCCTGTCCTGTGGGCGCTGGAGCTGCAGAGAGCAGGAGGGAGACACCCCAGGGCCTGTGAGTGGGGAGCAGCCACCACGACTGGAAGCTGAAGGAGGGCCTGCCTCCCCTGAGTGGGAGACAGAGGGCCCCCCTGCCCCTGTCTGCTGCCCCTCTGGAGCCTGCCAGGCACAGGCCAGCAACACAAGCAGGGAGCCAGTAGCTGGTGCATCTCAGCCTGCTCTCAGTGGCCTGCCTCCTCCTGCCAATGTGGGGACAGGAGAGCTGCATTCTCTGGGAAGCCAGGTAGCTACTAAGGTCAGTGGCACTGTACAATTGCCTAATGCTATCTTTTGGGAGTGTGTTCCAGCATTTTGTCACCATTTTACATGCTTTCCCAGTCCCTGTACAAGGTGGAGCATTGGGGGAGTCTGCCTGTAAAATGGTGATTTCTGTTATACAGGTTCATCTGGAGAATTGGGCCTTGGGACCAGCAGGGGGCTCTGTCCACAGCATCTTCTGTTCCTTGAGACTAATGACCCAGAGGGGAGGGCCAGGAATGGTCTCAGTGGGGGAGCCCTGTCCTGTTTCTGACTTGGTGATCTAAGGCCTCAGGGGGGCCCTGAGAAGACATGAGGAAGGAGGGCCCAGAGCTGTGGTCTCCTGAGGGCTTTATGTTCTTGGAACCCAGGGAACCTCACCAAGCTGCCCTGTGGTGGCAGCACTGAGTGCTGCTGGGCAAGGACATTTGTTTTGCGCCTCCGAGTGCAGGGCAGTCTTGCCTAGTGGGAATCACATGGAGCAAGGAGCCCTGCCTGCCTCTGTGACCTCAGGCAAATCACCGCATCTTTCAGGCCCTCAGTATGATTGGAAGGTGACCTGTGTGACCAGCTCTGACATCCTATTATGCTCTGCTTGCCAAGCCCTTTCATGGGAAAGACTTTGATCTCTTTGCTGTCATTATGGCCTTGGCTGTTGCATGCTGCCCCTATGGAGCCTCACTCTGTGAGGAGCCTCTGAGCGTGACTGTGGGAGAAAACAGAAGCTGGGCCCACCTGCCTGGGAGCCAGGGCGGTGGGAGGCTCAGGGAACCTGTGAGTCAGAGATTCAGGGAGGCAGGACATAAGCCAACTGGGCTGTTTCATGATGTGAGTCTGTTGCTTGTAGTAACATCTATTGTGTGTTGAGCTCTCACCCTGTGCATTTCATACATGAATTCATATAACCCTCATGTCCTGAGGAAGTGGTGCTATTACTATCGCCACTTTACAGGGGTGGGAAGCAAGGCTCAAAGTTATACATCTGGGAGGTGGCAGTTAGTTAGGTCTGTCTGTTCCAAAGCTCATGGCTGTAGCTACTGTGCTGTCGGCCTCCCTCAGGGCAAGTTCTTCATCAAGCAAATAAAAAATTCAGAGTAAAGAGGCTGAGACGAATGATCATTTTGCCAGTGTTCATTACCACTGGCATCTGAGATGAGCTGCGTGGGTTTGGATGTGTCTCCTCTGTCAGTGACAGAATGACTGAGGCTTCATCTATCCTTTTCTGAAAGGATAGGCAGTGTGTTCCAGCTTCTGCCTGCTTACGCGCTCGAGTTCTCACAGGCAGAGTGTCTGTGGAGGGAGAACTCTTTTTTTTTTTATTATTATTAATATATTTTATTTATTTTTTACAGAAAGGAAGGGAGAGGGAGAGAGAGTTAGAAACATTGATGAGAAAGGAACATCAATCAGCTGCCTCCTGCACACCTCCCACTGGACATGTGCACACAACCAAGGAACATGCCCTTGACCGGAATCGAACCTGGGACCCTTGAGTCCGAAGGTCGACGCTCTATCCCTGAGCCAAACCGGTTAGGGCGAGGAAGAACTCTTGAAAGGACTGAGGGTGGGATCAGTTTGGGGAAGTCTCATGCTGCCACTAGCAGCACTCTATCTGGTTCTTGCATTGGGTAGCAGACTCATGTCAAGACCTTTCCTGAATGTCATCTCGGCTCTCCAAAGAAAACTCCCGGTTTATTCTCTAAGAAAGAAATGTAGGCCAGCTGGCATGGCTCAGTGGTTGAGCATCAACCTAGGAACCTGGAGATCTTAGGTTCAGTTCCTGGTCAGGGAACATGCCTGGGTTGGGCTCGATCTCCAGTTGGGATGTGCAGGAGGCGGCCAATCAGTGATGTTCTTCTCTCATCTATCTTTCTATCTCGCTACCCCTCTCTCTCAATAAAATATGTACATATATTTTAGAAAAGAAATAAAACTATGATGCATCTATTTAAAAAAAAAAAAAAAAAAGTGTAGCTTATCACCTTTTCTTCCCTCTTCTCATTGCAGATGGAGGACACCAGGCTTTGTGCCTTAGAAGAGCTACCTCAGACTACAACTGCTCCCAGAGCCACGGCCCTTTGCTCAGGACATGATGCTGATACCGAAGATGACCCATCCCCCGTGGAGTCACCGCGGGTGCTGGCCCTCAGCCGACAGCCTCACATCTCGGGTTTCCCTTTCTCGTCAAAGCGGAGGTCCATGCTGGGCCCAGGGGCCACTGCTCCGTTTTCCAGCCGCAGTGTCTCTGCCTCACCCCCTGGCAGCAGCTCCCAAGGACACCAGGAGAAGGCAGAGCCTCAAAGTTGCTCTCTTGCCAAGGTCTCCCCCTCCCTGGAGCTGGTTGGCTCCCAGTCGGCCCCCTCCATGGTGGGACCAGGGCCTCCGCTCCAGTGGTCTCCACAGCCTGTGTCCTCTGGGGGTGATGCCCCTGGGCTACACAGGAGGCATCTATCCTTCCAAGCCGAGTACTGGGCCTGCGTACTGCCAGATTCCCTGCCGCCTTCCCCTGACCGCCGCTCCCCGCTGTGGAACCCGAACAAAGAGTATGAAGAGCTGCTGGACTACACTTACCCACTTAGGCCCAGGCCTCGGCTCCCGAGGCATCTTGACAGCCACGTGCTGGCTGCCCCTGTCCTGCAGGATTCAGGTGTAGACCTGGATAGTTTTTCTGTCTCCCCAGCAAGCACTCTGAAGTCACCCACTAATGTCTCCCACAGTTGCCCACCAGCGGATGCCAGTGCCCTGCCATCCTCTGGGTCCAGAGAGCCAAGCTTTAAACGGTCGCACTCTGGAGTACCCCAGGAGCAGGGCAGCGTGGGGCTGGCATCTTGTAGCCGGCTCACATCTACTCCCAGGGCTGCAGGCAGCAAGGACACTGTTTGGGAAAGGAGAGAGCCAGCCCTGAGGGGTGTGAAGGACTGGCGGACCGTGGGCAAGCACCTCGAGGTGGGCTCTCCCCAACTGAGGACATGGGACAGAGGATGGCCTTCATCTGGGCAAGAGAGAGAGAAGGGGGCTGGCCAAGGTGACCAGCGCCCTGCCTGTATGGAGTCTGGATGGAAACCAGAAGAGGACTTGGAAAGTGATGACGAGTATCTTGCCCTGCCCACTCGGCTGACACAGGTTTCTAGCTTGGTTTCGTATCTGGGTTCTGTTCCTACTTTGGTGACCCTGCCCACTGGAGCTGCCGAAGGGCAGAGCTCCCTGGATGTGTCGAACAGTGATGGGCCCACTTCTTTCCCATCGGATTCCAGCCAAAGCCAGCTTCCCTCTGTCCCCAGAGGGCCCGGGGGGTTTGAGGAGCAGAACCACTGTTTGCTCCGCTCCTTTCTCCATGCAAGAGACTCTGCAGGAGACGGCAGTCTGCTGAGCAGCCAGGCACTGGGGGTCTCCTGTGGACCTCTGAGAACACGCTCCTCTTTACCAGTTATTTTGGACCAGCAGACATTCTCGGACCCAGACTGTAAAGGGCAGTCTCTCAGGAGAGGACGAGAGCAAGGAAAAGAATCACTCATGCACTGTGTGAAGGTAAATGACATTTAAGAGGCTTGTGTAAAAGTGCCCCATTTCTTCCCCCTGCCCACTGATTTTAATAACAAAACTTAGTAACATTGATCACACTTCATGTGCCAGGCACTGTATTGTACCTTATCCTATTTAATCCTCACAACTCACTACCCAATAAGGACTGTTCTCATTTTTCAGAGAAAATGGTAGTGAAGGGTTAAGCAACCAGCCCACTTAACGGTAGTTAGCAAGGGCTGGAGCCTGAGATCTTGACTGCCACCCAAGCTGCTTCCCAAGGCTCTTGACCTTGAAGATCAAGAGGTGCTCTGCACAAGTGCTCTCTTGACTGCAGGCCTTCTCAGAGCTTCAACTTAATAAAGTGGAGTAACTGCAGAATTAGGGGCTATTAGCTATACCGTTTCCTCAACTGGTTGGCCACTGACCCTCTCATGGACCTCCCCAGAATATCTGGAGATAGAATGAATTACAGGGATGTCAGCATCAGGCTGAGCTGAATTTGAATCATGACACTGCTATCTTTGGAATTCGGCTCAATCTCTTGAGTTTGCTTTTTAAAAACGAGATTTGACACTTCAGGGTGTTGTGTGGATTAAATGAAATAATTTGTGTTGGGATCTGCATAGTCCTGACACAGGTATGCTCAGAAATGTGGCTCTGTACGCACACTGGGAGAGCCCCAGGTGAGCACGTGGATGCCCACATCTGCACCGCAGCAAGGTGGCCAGCCAGAGGGTCATGCACCCAGGAGATGGTTCCTAGAACTGGAGTTGTGCAATAACCATCTGAACTGTAAGCAGTTAGGAGAAATGTTAGCATGTATTCTCCTTTGTGATAAATATGATGAGGTAAAGTGCTTGGCTCACAGCCTCCCCAGGGCGAGTAGCTGGCAGGATTCTAGGGGCCCTACTACCTGAGCAGTGTGGAGGCAGAACGGGCCTGCATTGTCAGTTGTCAGCCGAACATTCAGGTGAGTCATGACCAGTCATTTATGTCCACATTTTCCCCAGGAACAAGCCGATAGTTAAATGCTGAGCCAGCAACTGGTTTCTGTGGCAGGCAAACCTCTCTTGTGCCGTTTCCCATCCCTGCTGTCACCTCTGCTCTGTCCCCATGCAGGGCTGGCTTTTCTGAGTCTCATTTTTGTGTCATATCAGGCTGAGGGGAGACAGAACGAAGGTGGGCTATTCCTGTTGCCCTGGCAGAGGTCTGGAGTCATGGGGTGCGGACAGGCAGGGGAGGACAAGAGACCAAAGCTTCAAGTGAAGGAATGCTCTGGACTGGTGCACAGTCCAGCACAGAATCCCCTGGATATTTTTAGCCTTTTGAAAATGTAAACAGCATGTGTCTTATTTGTCCACACAGACATTTTGCTGTCAGCTAGACGAGCTGATCCACTGGCTGTATGACATAGCTGATGTTACCGACCACTGGACTCCACCAAAGTCCAGCCTTACGGGTCTCAAGTCTTCTCTGCAGCTTTACCGGGTAATACTCATGAGAAGGGGCTGAGTCACTTGATTACAAAGTAAAAGCTTAAATAGTATGCTCTGTGTGTTGTGGTTCAGTTGACTTTTACCTGAAAATTAATCATAGGTCCTTTTCAAATTCTTAATGCCAAAAAACTAAAATATATCAGTTATTTCCTAAGCCAAATAGAGTTTGGAGAAAATTCATTGATCCTCAATCAAAAATACTTAAGGATGACTTCCAGTGTAATTTTCCAAATATCTCAGGGATTGAGAAGCATACATGTGTACTGTTTGGAATCTCTGGGCACATATGGCGATTTAAAATGAAAAATCCAATAGCCACATTCCAAGGGTTCAGTCAGAATTCATCTAGGGACTACAGTGCAGGTAAAACGTTTCCATCACCACAGATCTTTTGGACAGCACTGACTGATACGTAATTGTTTAAGCTGAATTTGTATTGACTCCAGGACATACCCAGAGCATTTTGATGGTGTTTATACAAAGATACAGCTCTATTTGCTTCTCAGTGTTTTGTTTTGGGGAATTTTGCCTCTCTAAAAAAACAGGTTTTAATTTTAAAAATCTCTTTAATGGTGGTTCTGAGTACAACTTTGGATCAAAATATTTAGGTGAGTTTGTGCCTGCTGTTCTGGCATACTTATCAATAGCCTCCCAGTGTTCTAAATTGGATGGTAAATTATACAGTTACTCGAAACATAACATTAACCTTGACTGACCTATCCATGACTTCTGGCATGTCTGGTTGGCCAAATCTTGATAACCTCTAAAGAAGGAGCGGGGTGTTTGTGGTCTCAGCCTGATGCTGGTCTAGAAAGGATTTTCCTGGGACAGTTCTTTGCATTTCCCCCACATTATAACCTGACCGACTGCCTTCCGCAAAAGAGGTCTTGATTTCCTGAGCCAGGGCCACACCAGCCTGGGCTGAGCCAGAGCTCCCACCACACTAGGCAGGATGGAGGGCCTTTGTTTTCCAGCTTGGAGCCATGTAAAACTTACGGGAGGAGTCTCATCTGGGTGGGCCAGCTGCTCCACATTAGTGGGAATGCCGTTTCCTGTTATGTAGACAGTTCCTTGCCTAGAATACACTAAGCAAAACTGAGTATGAGAGTCCTCCATGTGCTGGGCCCACCTCTCAGGCCCAAGAGCAGTATCATTGTGGGAAGAGGAAACTATCCTTGTTAGACTTACCTGGTGGCCTTTCCAAAGTGCCTCAGCCACACCCCATCAGAGTAGGTGCCAGTGAAACAACTCCATTCCCTCTATTGTGTCCCTCAGTCGTCCTGCATCAACTTCCAGGCCAACCAGAGCAACATTCTTGCTTTGTGGGTAGAACAGATCTGAGCTGGGAGTTATTCCTACAGGACAGTGAAGCCTAGCCCTTATGTCACACACACAACTGAGACCACTCCGTCAACCGATTCCCCATGTATAATACAAGCTACTCTGACCCATGTTACCTACCTAATGTAAGCATGAGTGTGGGTACCTATACTGATAAAAGGGTAACATGCCAATTAGGCCAGACAGACCAGATGTCCTTCTTGACAAAGCCAGGGGCATGGCCGGCCTGCAAACTGCTCGTGGCCCCTCACCCAGGCCACTCCCACCCCCCACCAGCCAGCTCCCACCCATGCACCAGGCCTCTATCCTATATAAAAGGGTAATTGACCCTAAAGGTAGAACAACTGCTAGACCAGTCACTGTGAGGCACACTGACCACCTCTTAGTCCTTTTCCCCGGCCAGCAGGCTCTGATTGCCTGGTGGCCATCCATGGCAGGGGCGGGGCTGGCAAACAGGCAGAACAGCCGACCTCTCGGTTCCACCCCGCCTCCTCCCCTTCCCCCCATGCCATCAGGCACTGATCACCCGATGGCAAACAGAACCGGGGGTGGGTGGCGGCAGGGGGCAGGGCCAGCTGCGGGCAGCTGGGGAAGATGGCCCTGATCGCAGGCTAGTCCTAGGGAGTGTACCTGTGCACCAATTTTGTACACCAGGCCTCTAGTGTATTCAAATATTTTAACTGGACTCTGTCTCACATTCTTTGTCTTAATAGCAATGGGTTTGTGGCAGCATATCAAGAGTACTAAAGAATAAAAATAATAAGCATAGATATTAGGGCTGAAGACAGGAATATAGTAAATCCAGGAGGAAAATTATAACCAGAATGTGAAACACATTCTGCACCCTATACTAAAAGTGGTCATGGATTTGACTCTTACACCTAAGGGCTAAAGGTGCACCAAAAACAATTGAAGACAAGGCGCGGTACCTGTGAGGGAGAAGCAGATGAGCTCCTTTGGAGACTTGGCTTCTTTAATGCCTTCCCAAGGCCTGACGTCCACACAGAACGTGACCACAGGCAGCAGTCACTGTGGCCACTTCAACAACATCTCTTACGGCTCTTACTTGCCAGTTCCATTACAATAGAGGACTTTTTAAGAATCCCATTGCCTGTGAATATAAAGAATGAGGTGTGGCACAGAAGGAAACTATGACTCCACGCTGTTGATAAGCCAGGCTCCACCTAGGGGGAAAACTATTGTCAAACTTTCAACAGAAAAAAAAGATTGCCTCTGTATTTACCTTGGGCTCCAAAGAGGTGGTTCAACTTGACACTGTTTACTTGGGGAGTCCTGAAGACCAGTGGGTGTACATTACAGGTTAGAGGGAAATCAAGCTACCCTACAAGGGATCATTTTGAATAACTTTTATAAAATGAGAGTAACGAAGCTTTTTTCTTTTTTTCCTGATATACTTTAAGCAATTTAAGAAAGACATAGATGAACACCAGTCCCTGGCGGAGAATGTCTTACAGGAAGGGGAGATTCTTCTTCAGTGCCTGTTGGATAACACCCCAGGTGAGATGCTTGAGGCTTTGAATTTAGCCAGCCTGTCAGCGCAGTCCAGGGCCCCTCATACTCACTGGTAAGGAGCCATAGTGCCGAAGCCCCTCCCACATGCACCCATTGCCCTGGATTCCCATGGCTGCTAGCCCCTCACAGCATCCCTGCCCCGCAACCACACCATGTGGCCGGCAGTCACAAAGGTAAGCCGAGTAAAGTCGTGTCAAGCTTTTAAGAGCCACTCTTGCTTATGCTTTCATCTTTTCCGGGTGTCCTGGGTGGGAATGCTGGTTGGTTTTTGGCTAGGGGGCTTCCTCCTTTCCCAGTGCAGGCGACACCCCTCTAGTTATCTGCTTTCAGGATTCAAGAGCAGTCAATCTATTCTGAGCGAATAGACTGAAGAAGTGGACTGAGAAACGGGACAGGAGGGGCGGTGGTGCACAAACTAAGCTCAAGACTGTTTTGTAGGGTGGATTTCCAAGATAGGAAAATGTGAAAATCACAAACGAGTAAAGCATTCATGGTGCAAGAATTTACGATGGTATTACCCTTGCTGGAGGTGGATGTGAATGGAGGATGCGGTAGGAGAATGCTAGGTTAAAGCAATGAAGTGATGGGTCCCTAAAAACAGCCCCTAGTTTCCTGAGACTCAACATCCAAGTGCTAAAAAGCCATCTGTATTGAGCCTCAGATTTGGAGATGGTGTCTATGCTAGAAGCAAATAGTATAAGCAAAGCTGGGCAGGACCTATGAGCTTGAGAGGCACTGAGGCTGCCCTTTCCTGACCGGAAGTAGTGGGCAGGTGCATATTAAGAGGTGTATACTATAGCAGTTTCTCTCAACCTCAGCACTACCAATATTTTGGGCCACATACTTCTTTCAGAGTGGTGTCCTGTGCATGGTAAGCTGTTGAGCAGCATTTCTGTCCTGTACCCATTAGATGCCAGTAGCACCCCTCCCCAGTTAGGACAACTTAATGTATCGCCAGCATTGCCAAATGTCCCCTGGGAAGAGAAATCAACAGGGTTGAAAACTGAAGGAGCCATGACACTCTGCAGGAATTTCCAAAGGGTAGTGCTTATCCAAAGACATGAGACCTTTGCAATCCCCAGCCCTTCGGAGGCAGTTGTTTTGGCTCTTCTGATACTTTCTTGTATAGGGTTTTCTGGTTTTGATTGGGATAGAAATTAAGTATGCCAACCTCCTTTGCTGCCTGTAATCACTCCAGTACTTTTCTGAACACTGTGTGCCAGACACTGCTGAAGCAGTTCATTTTTTCCCCATTTAACCACAGCCCTGTGAGATGGACACTATTACTACTGTCATCTCCGCAGAGTAATGGATTTGCGCCTTGGTCACACAAGGAATGGCAGCCTGGCTCCAGCCCCTATGCTGCTGTCAGCGTGTGGGGGTGCAGGCAGGGGCTGAGCAGGAAGGGAAGCAGCTCAATACCAGGAAACTCTTCCCAGAGGCCACATGTAACAAACAATAGGGCCTCTTAAAGGCCACAGGTTCTTTGACCATTTAAAAAATTCAGAAAACTTCTCAGTGTTTAGTTTGTAATAAAAATGTCTCACTTTGCCTTTCTCTCAAAGGAGTTTAGAGGTATTTACTGTCAAAATAAGAGGCTTTTGGGGTTTCTGTAGTTTTCAGGCTCTATGCATCCGGGCTCTTTCAGATTGACACACTGCCCCTCCCCATCCTGTTTGGCACACCCAGGAACCTGACTGCTCTATGGAAATCACAAGTTGCCCTTGATTCACAGGGTTTGTCCAGCTAGGAGTTCTCCAGAGCAGTGGTCACCAACCGGTGGTCCGTGAGGTCTGAAATGTTGGTGACCACTGCTCCGGGACACACAGAAAGAGTTCAAGCACAGACACTCCTCCCCAGCCTCTGCCACAGCATAAGGTTGGAGATGAGAAGCCAGATGAACTCCCCCTCAAAATGTCCCAATCTCAGCCACCTGTTAAAGGCCTCTCCACAGAAATCTGGCAGATTTTCATTACAGTCCTATCTCAACAAACGCTTTATTACACTGGATCAAATGGCTGGAACCTATTGGCATCAAACTGAAACAGGCCACTAAATAATCTATAATAAAAGCATAATATGCTAATTAGACCAGACATCCTTCCAGACGAAGCCATTCCCGGGTCCCAAGTACCAGAAGGAAGCTGGTGCCAGCGCAGGGAGGAGAGGGCCTACTCATGCACGAATTTCATGTATCGGGCCTCTAGTTACAATATAAGATCTCACTGGGAAATATTTCATTCCTATTCCTAGCTTTCCTTTTATTTGACTCCAACCAAACACTAACATTCTAAAATAGAAGTTTAAAAATTTAAAGGTCCCCTGAACTCCACTGATAGCACACAGGGGACTGGGCAAAGGTCTGGTGGACGTGGAGGGGGAGCCCATCCCAGGTGAGCTGTACTGTGCACCCTGGCTGCGTCCTCTGCCGGCCTTGCCCTCACAGCTCTCGTGAGCTGTCAGGACAGCACTTTGCCCTGATGACTGTGCACTGATATGGCTCCCTTGGGGTTGATCTCAAAACAGCCAGCCTGTACTTCTGCCCATCCATCGGCATCCTCTGCAGATACACAGCTTCCCCTTTCCCTTCCACTGCTGGCAGATGTTGCAGCTGAGGCAGGAAATGGGAGAGTGTTAACACAGCTGATAAAAGCACAGGAAACTAGAGCAGCCTTTCTGTTTTAACTAAGGAAATAACGTTTTTAAGAAAAATACAAGCTTGCTATATGAGATGCACTTTGAACCTAGCCCATCCCCTTCTCAAATGAACACTTAATGTGTAGAAGGGAATCTTGGCCTTACTGTCCTTTTTAAATATATCTTTTTATTGATTTCAGAGGTAAAGGGAGGGAAAGAGAAACATCAATGAGAGAGAATCAGTGATTGGCTGCCTCCTTGCATACCCTACACTGGGAATTGAGCTTGCAACCTGGGCATGTGCCACTGAACCATGACATTCATAGCCAACGCTCAACCACCAAGCAATGCCGGCCTGGCTAACCATCTTGTCTTTGCCTGCTTTTAGGTATTTTCTTTTGAAATCTATTCTAGAACTCAAAAAGTCCACAGGGATCCCCAAATGTTACCAGACTACCTGTGCACAAGCTAAATGACAGTCCCCAGCTAACAGACGCTATTAGGACCTGGTAGTAAGACCAGGAGCCCTAATCCTGGCTTTTTTCATTTAAGCCTTTGCACCACATGATCTGGGTGTGCCCTGAGTCTTCTCTCTCAAAGTCAAATAATACCAGTCACCACAGAACCATGTCTGCTTTTTTATGAATTATGTAATTCCAAAGTAGAGCCAGAGAAATTCTTGCCTCACTTTAGTCATAAATTAAAAGGTCCACCAGTGCAATAGTATTTCCTGGAGAGTCACTGTTAAGAGTGGACATTCTGAAACTATTGTGTAAAATGCTACACCTTGTATGTTCTTTTGAAAATAACTTGCATGATTTTTTTTTTTTTTTTTTGTCTAATTGTTTTGTTAGTGTTAAAGGATGTCCTCAGGCGGATCTCAAAGCAGCCCAGTGAGCTGGAGAGCCATGCAGATCACCTGTATGATACAATCTTAGCTTCTGTGGACATGCTGGCTGGCTGCACCCTCATCCCTGAAGACACACCAGTGACACACAGTAGTGCTGATGTGACTGGGATGAGCCTGGTAAGTAGAATCATCCAAGAGAACATCCCTCCCTCAGACCCCTGTGCTGGATTAGGGTACAGAGCTCCTGCTCTGACATTTGCTTATTTCTTAGAAACTTGAGCCAAGAGCTTTTAAAACAAATAAGATGTTTCTCTGGCCGGTGTAGCATCCTGCCATACACCAAAAGATGGTGGATTGAATTCCCATTAAGGGCACATACCCAGGTTGCAGGTTCATTCCCAATTGAGGCACGTGCAGGAGGCAACTAACTGATGCATCTCTCTCACATTCTCCTCCATTTTCTAAAAAATTTCGATGGAAACGTTTCTTGGGTGAGGCTTAAAAAAAAAAAAAAAAAAAAAAAAAAAATTGAGATGCTAGGAGATGCTACCATTGCGGGGTCTTCCCATGAGGACAAAGGCTCACTGCTGTTGTACATTACCGTCTCACCCATGCTGCCTGCTGAGGACTAGGAAGTCATGCTCCCACTTCTATGGCAGTCCTTTCACCAGCCCCCAAATGCAACAGCAGCAGAACTTATCTATACGTACTTTGCTCCTCACCCAACTCATTTTATACTTTCTCCGAGCAACTACTGATGGCACTGATAGCTCTTCACACCTCCCTTTCCCACAAAAGGCTAGGAGGGGATAGTTGGGGATAACATGCCTGGAAACTTAACAGTACAACTTTCTTCTGATCTCTAGAAAGGTCCAACTGAATGATAGGAGAGGCAGGCTGAGAGAGTTGGTGCCCACTTTGGGACAACTGGACCATACTATCTCTGAAATTGCCTCTCCAATCAAAATGTGGTGCCTCAGATTTTCCAGATTAGATCTGACAAAATAAGGTAAAGGATAAAATCCAGGTATGTCAAGAGCAAAGAGTCCATTATTTGAATCAGAAATTTAGCAAGTTGTTTTGATTCTAAAATGTTTGTTGTATATCCCCCTCTGCAACATTCTGCCTGTAACAAATGCTTCTCTTTCTCTTTCAGGCATCTTCTCAGGCAGAGATGTAATTTGTCTCCCAAAACCTGGCTGGTGGGAAACTTTCAGGAAGAAAGTAAGAGCCGTTTAACACTGATAATCAAAGGGGAAACTTAAACCTAATGTATTAGCTTTAAAATGCCTTTCTCTTCCCTGAGATAAGGGACTACTGAATTACTATTTTTATTTAAAACAAATACTTCCAAACTAAGGTGTTCCTTTGGTGCTTCTCTGCAAAGAGCATGTGGCTTTGCAGTCTTTTGATAAAATAATGTTAATAGTCTTATAGGTCTTTCTTCCCCTCTGCCCAGTTAAAAGAGCAGACAAAACTCTCAAACTAGTCCACACACTGAGATCATTTAAAGAAGGCTGGTATGAGAAATAAGGTACCAAATACTCAGTACTCAGGCATACAAGATTGGTTGGTTGGTCAGGAACTTGGGTCTTTTCATGAAATTAAGCCTGGGTTTGTAAGTCCTACTTAGAAGACTTTAGAAGAGACTTTAACTCTCTAAATTCATAGAAGATTCCTCTACAAATTACTGTGTGAATTAGTCCTTTTGTCATCTTCAGGGCTTAGGGCTCCATCTGCCTCGCTAACAAATATCTTAAAGGACAGTGTGTTGGGGCATTGTGAATTGCCATTGAGCTTCAGCAAGGCTATGGACTAATGAGCCATCTTAAAGGTACCTCTAGGAGGATGCTCCCCTCCATTCCCACTCTCCTGTGGAAGAGTAGTCCAAGGTCAGGGAAGGGAAGGGCATGGATAGGATCATACAGCCTGGTTAACTACAGAAACTAAGGCCGTAAATAGTGAAGTGGAAGGAAGGAATTTTTTGTTGCTTGGGAGTTGACGTGTAAGTACCTTGATAGAATTAAATTTACAGATCAACCATTTAAAATAACGATTCTGTAACCTTTAAAGCAAAGTAATCATCCATTACCGGTAACCACAGATAATGCAAAAACAAAATCAGTTAGTTTCTATTGGGCTATGAATTAACGTGGAATGAGAAAAGTACATTTCCCCCCATATAATTTTAGTATTATAGTGGGCTAAGATTTAAACAAAGGGTTCTTCATACTTAAATATATGAGATAAACACTTAAAGATCTTTTTTCAAACTCCTTCCAGATTCTCGTTTAAGGAAGGTGCTTTTAAAAAGGAAGATATTTAAGTTTGTAAAGAATGAACAAGTCATCTTGAATCAAAAGATGATGATGATAGAACAATTACTCTCACAAGCAAACTTCTGATATCCCTCAGAACAAAATATTTAATACCAAGTTACTTTTTAAAAAAAAAAATTTAGGACTTTAGTTTGGGGGACTGAGCCACATAACATTCAACACCATCTCACCCACATCCATATGAACTAAAGTCCTATTATAAATGTAACTTTTTCTGCTTTAAAATTTCAGACTGCATAGTCACTGGGAAATTATATAAAATTTCAATAGCAGCTATATAAAATTCAGTATTTCAAGTGCCTGCTGCTACTATGGTATGATTTACCATAATGCTTAGTTTAAGGGCATGATCAGAATTAAACCGTGTATGAAGATTCTGCCTGTATTATGATTCTCCATATTAATCTTGATTCCATACGTAAATTTTAATAGCCTAGAACTAGTTAAAAAGGCACATATGTCTAACATCCTCTGTTTTTATATTGTTAAATATCACCTTCCCTTTGATGTGGCTATAAAATGGCATATACCTTTACACTACTTTCCATTGAGTATGTTACAGGGTAGCCATTAGGAGTTCAACCCAGTTATTTACTACTACTATTTGTTAGGCATGAAAATAAGTCTATAGGTCAGGAAAAAAAAAAAATTGAAGATGACAATCCTCTAGAAACAAACTGGCTAGGGTTACAGTAATTGAAGGCTGCATATGCCATTCTACTCCAACTCAACCTAATAATTATAATTATAAAAATCTTCAGGGTACTTTGTTTCAAAGTACTGTTTCCCAAGAAAGTACTACTTTACCTAGAGATGAACTCAAGAAGGTTTTTGTTCATCTCCTTTGAAATAGTGTGACAGAAGGGTGCTCATTCTAGACCTCACTGAGAATGCCACTGAGTAATATCAGCACAGTGGCTAATTACATCTTCAGCAGTGCTATAAAAAGTTGAAGACCTCCCTTAAAATTGAAGCTGAAATTGTTTCAGCCTTAAGAGGATGCTAGCAACATTTCCATGAGCCAATATGGCTGGGTTACAGTACAAGTGGCCTGGCTGGCCAGTGCACAGTGGTACACATTAGCCTTAAGGACAGTGGTGGCATAAGTGTGATTTTGAAATCCCAAATTTACCTCTAGGAAAATTTCCTAGTAGTCCCTTTGAATTAGTAAAAGTTAATTCTACGGGGAGGTGGCAGAACTAAGAACTGTATTGCTAGTTTCAGGACATAGGTTCTTGTTACAGCTCCATGGCTGAGCTCATCTGCAAATCAAATACAGAGTCAACAACACAGGACTGTTTTGAAGCTTAAATGGGAACGTAAAGAAGGGTTGATGTAAAAATATGCTGCAATGGCAACATGTGTGCTATTTCAATCCAAGGTCAAAAAATAGGAAGTTACTGCTTAGACCAGAATAGCTGTCATTCTCCAAGGATTTCCCAAAGACTGCACTGCTTAGATTTAGCTTACTCTTACATAAACTAATTCATGATAGCCACTTTAACAGTTTATAGTCCAACAAATAACTAGATAAAAGCCCATAGTAGCTTGAAATGTGTGTACTTGAAAAGGGGGTAGGAATGGGATTTTTTTTTTTCAAGACTGCATTTATTGGCATATTCATAAAAGCAAACAATGGAGCATGCTGAAACATCTTACTTAGGTACTCTCTGCTCCAGTCTTGACTGTCATGGGGGAAAGAACACTAAAATTTTCAAAACTAAGTATGTAAATATGCTTACATCTTAAAATAAATTCATGTAATGTTTTTGCCAACTCACCAAGAATAAGCTGACAGTTTGAACAACTTGCTGTATAAAACTGAAGTGTATGGCGTCACACTAACATTTGTTATCTTTTATCTACTTTAGAAGATGGGATAGTTTCTGAATTATTTCCCCCTTTATACCATATTGTAAAGCAAAAAAACCTTTTGAAGCACTTTTAAAAAAAATCTTCACCCAAATAACAATTTGAGTTCAGATGCCTTATGTGAGGATGAATAGATCCAACAAGCACATCTATAATACAAAGTAAAACTATGACTTTATTGTGAAATTCTCATAGAAGGAAAATTAAGTGGAATATTCTGTCCATTTTATTTTACAATAATCTTGCCACTTATTTTTGTACCATGTGTTTCAATTGTCTGTTTAGTGAAAATAAAAATAAAAACCTTTAATTTCTGGCTTGTTTTTAATTTAGATTTTATCATTAAATTCAAAATCCCACCATAAAATGTGTTGCCAACAACCATATCCCAAGCCCCTAAGTAAAGAATATTTTGGCGGCTACCTTCGAGCCCCAGGAAAACAGCCTTTGATTTACATTACCTTAAAATGCCAGTGTTAGCAAAAGACTGTTTTCCACAATAAAAAACAAACCCTAAAATCTTTAAGGTCCTATTTAACAAAATTTTCACATGTGCAAAATCCCACAGAAATAAATATTTCTCTCACTTATTCCCATCTAACATTCATGTTTTCAGATAACTTTTAGGGAAATAATTTCTAAAATTAGGGCAATCAAATAGTAAAATTTCCCTTCTTTCTACTTTTTAATGCTTTACCTATCCTCCAACCTAAGTTACACAATTGTGGAGGATAAAATAGTTGGCATCTGACCCCGAGCATGGAAGAAATATTAGCACATGTATTGGTCTGATCATTTGCCAATTAAGGGAAGGTGATGCTTTCCACCTTTACCACATAAAAAAATTAAAGTATTGATTCATGAAGCCATTTCAGATGGTTTTAGAGAAGGATCAGAGATAACAAGCTATATAGCATAGTCTTCTTTACCAGACAATTTAATCTCCCTGAACCACTAAGCTTGGCTAAAATCCTACAGCAGAAAGCTTCCCTAGGTCATTTATTAGGTGTATTATCTGGAAAGCATAATGAATGCTGCTCTAAGATAGGTCTACAATGCCCTGGTTGCACACACAAATGGATGTTTTAGGAATAATGCAAGGCTCTCTTTCCCTTTAACCATAAGAATTAAAACAATACTTATCACCATTCGGTTGGATATTACTTCCAATAAGTACAATATTTATTAAACATATCTTCAATTGTTTTGTTACATAGTGTGCAACAAATTACAATATTCTGCAGCCACAAATTATATGCAGAGTATGAAGAAACTATTAATCAGATAGTGTAATCTTTCCGTTTATAACTCTACAAGGAAGAACTAGCAAATCAGATCTTACATATAACATCTCACTAAACTTTATGCATGGAAAGTGACAGACACTGGTTGTGCTGTTTGATACAAAATGGCTGAACTTCATCTTCAGAAGACTAAACCTGACATCTAAACATGCCAATATAAACATCAAAACAAAATATATTCTAACCAACCACGGGAAACAGTCTGGTATCAGGAAAGCAACAAGGATTACACACATTATTTTATAAACCAGCACACAAAGGTTTAAAACAGTTCTGAAAATGAAGTTAGCTGTCTTGAGTCAAGGGAATAAAAAAAAAGTCAGTATTGACCATGTACAATCTCTGACCTTTGTGGAGACGGTAAGAATCTGTTGTAGTGCAGCTACATACAGTACAATTCAGGCAATTTTGTTTTTTCACTTGGGTTCAGATTGCAAATTCATTGCTGTGAGAAAAAGACGGAGGCAAATTTTAGCAGCAACCTCCACCTGACTGCTTGACTGGAGTGCTCTGAATTTTAACATTGGACTTCTCTGCACCACCAGCTGTCGCTCCAGGACCCATCCGCTTTTTAATCTCAGCTGCCATTGTCATGAAAGACTGTTCTACATTCGTTGCATTCTTAGCACTGGTTTCCAAAAATGGAATTCCAAGGGAATCAGCAAATTCCTAAGAGAATAAAAGCACAATTAACATTGAGAAAATCTTTTTCTTTTTTTAATATATTTTTTGTTGATTTTTTACAGAGATGAAGGGAGAGGGAATTAGAAACATAGATCAGCTGCCTCCTGCACACCTCCCACTGGGGATGTGCCCACAACCAAGGTACATGCTCTTGACCAGAATCAAACCTGGGACCTTTCAGTCTGCAGGTCGATGCTCTATCCACTGAGCCAAACCAATCAGGGCTGAAAAAATCTTTGTCACTTTTAGTGCATTTCTGTCTAAAATGAGCAGTGAGTAAAGACTAAGTTCACTGAATCCAAACAGACACCATTAAAAAAAAAAGTCATTTTAAAGTATTTTAGTGCACATTTTAAAAGCAAAAGGTGGTTGTGATCATTTTATGACTCCCTACTACATAATTCAAATTCAATTTGAAAATCAACTTTAAACATACCTTTGCTGTTGTGTAGTCTACTACTTTCTTTGTGGTCAGATCACATTTGTTCCCTACCAACAACTTGTTGACGTTTTCACTGGCATAACGATCTATTTCCTGCAGCCACTGTTTAACATTATTGAAGGATTCCTAAGACGACAGACATTTTTAAGGATGATAATATAGCTTATTTCTATAAAATAACAACTGTTCTAATGAAGCGAGAGATAAAAGAAGTGTTTTCTTAACCTAAGAAGAGTTAATGAAAAAACTCTAGCTACAAGACAATTACTATAGTGCTGGTTAAGAAATAAACTGGTAGTATTACAATGACTATCCATACCTAAATAAATTAGAATTTGAAGGCTTGAGGATAAAAATACCTTATTTGACAGAGAAATACAGCTCAGCATCAAACTAGCTCAAGCAAATTTGACAAATTTGAATTGAAATTTAATTATTTTGGTTTATGAATAGATAGCTTAAGTGTTACTACTAGAGACAAAAAATATTAAATAAATGGGTCCGAAGATGCTTGTTTTTTTTAGCACAATCATATTGAGGAAAACTAAGTATTTCATGGTAATGACATGAGATTTGAAATTAACACTATTTTCTCCTGTTGTATTACCCAATATGCATTGAATCTAAAGTCTTATTATTCCAGTTATCTCTTAATTAGCTATATCATAGTTGAAGTGACATTTAACATTTGCTATAAGAAAAATAAGTTCTAAACATTTATCTTTATTCTTTGATAGGGAAAAAAAACTTGAAATTTTCTAATTTTTTGTCAACAATTCTTATGGTCTTTGGACTACATTCTTTACACTATCCCTGTACCTCCACCACCACCTTGCAAAAGCTAATCTTCAGATATTCTCCTTTCTTCTAAAATCTTCCTCTAGCTCAACCTCCACAGGCAGATTCATAATCTTGTTTTTGACAATTCTGACAACTCTATTAGGCAAATTAATTAATATTTAACACACCAAAAATGGTAAAAGCCAAATAGCCTACAGCTCCCTATAAACTCTGTCAAAACAATCAGTTTTTTAGTTGATAATAAATATAACCAGAGTCCCTGAAAGCAAATGTAAAACCAAATACTAAACATTCTATTTACTTAAGGAAAATAATATGACATTTTGGCTGACCAATTCATTAGGTGCCCAAATAATGTTTGTGTGATTCACTTATTTGGAAGTAAAGTTTTTGTCCATATAAATAAAATGGATGGCTATTTATCAAATAGTAATATCCTGTTTGGTCACTGTAACACAATTTCCTTCTGGGACTTACCTGATCTGTCACATCATACACAACTATGATGCCATGGGCTCCTCTGTAATAACTGGAGGTGATTGTTCGAAATCTTTCTTGGCCTGCTGTGTCCCACTATTATAAAATAATCAAGAAATCCAAACAGTTCCATTAAGATAGAGTTGGGGAAAGGGGCAGGAGGAGGGGGAACAACTTAGTTTACATGTGTACAGAAATGACCAGGATTTGATATGGAAACATTAGCCCTCAGTACTTAACTACTAAATGCATGATAACTGCTAGTTACCTGAAGGTCCAGAAAAGAAGCTAGTGCCTACAATTTAGCTTATGGTTACGCTACCAATATTACACCAGTTCTTTGAGATTAGGAACTGTCATACTTTTCATATTCCCTTCCATTCTTAGAACTGTGCAAGACATTCTGAATGATTGCATAAACAGGTTGACTTAATTAGGAAGGCTACTGCCCTTACACCCCTTTAACACTCACACATAAGACAATATTATTTGCTAGCATGTTTTAGCATCATGGAATGCACTGAAAGAATCTAATTAAGGTCCTTTCAGTGATAGCACTTAACCATCTCTGGAAAGTATCTTAATCCTAGGGAAAACAATGTAAGGAAGATGATTCAAAATACTTTCATAAAATTCATTTTAAAAGCAATTTTCCACACTTCAGCATTTAGACTTAAACACCAAAAACAAATCTCACTTAAATTACTATATTAAAATTCTGGGTTTAATACAGACAGGATATTGGATAATATTGAGGCCTTAGTGTCAGTTTTGCTAGATGTGATAATGTTTACATAGGAAAATAAAGATGCATACCAACCTATGCTTGGAGTAAAATATAATGCCTGTAATTTAACATACTCCAGGGGAATAGTTAATGAATCAAATAAAGTTAACACCATTCATCTAAAACAAAAACAAGTCACAACGGCTTCATTTTTTTGTTTTGTTCAAAATATTGGCCTGAGAGCCCAAAAGACTTTAGATCTGTATTAGTAAAAAGTGTTCAAGTCACCCTAGCGGGTTTGGCTCAGTGGTTGGAGCGTCGGCCTGTGGACTGAAGGGTCCCTGGTTTGATTCCAATTAAGGACACATGCCTAGATTTCGGGCTCGATCCCCAAGAGGGCCGTGCAGGAGTCAGCCAATCAATGAGTCAGTCTCATCATTGATTTTTCTCTCTCACCCTCTCCCTTCCTCTGAGATATATATCCTCTTTCAGGATTCCTTAGAGTAGCCTAAGCTTTGGAGTCAAGCCAATCTGACTTCAAAACATAAAATCCAGGCTCCTGGTTATTTAACACTGGGGACAGTCAATTAACAGTTTCCTCATCTATAAATCTTTGGTGTAACTCAACTTAGGGATTGTTAAATGGGTTTAAATTAAAGCTAGTAAAATACCTAGCAGAATGCCTAACTGTAGAAGCTGCTCAATAAAATATTATGAAAATCCTTACACTACACCAGGCATGTAGATTCAAGATCATAGAGAGGAACAAAACAGCGCTCACAGGATATCTCATTTAAATGGAGAGACAAACATGAGAAATCCAATTACTCTGTGAGGGGTAATAGGATTATATATAGAAGAAAGTTCTTCCTTCCCTTCTCCACACACAAACTCCCTGCACGAAGATAGCACAAAGAAGAAACTGTTGATGCATAAATGTTAACAAAAAAAAAAACACAAAAAAAACAAAGAATTTAACTGATTAAGCAAGATATCCAAAGACTAAACTTTCCGATGTCTCCTGTCTCCTTGCCAGTCTGAAAACTCCTGATTCTACATAATAGTACCTTCCTCTGTAATTGATCACCCTTTGTATATAATTCTCATTACCTCCTAATCACAGGGTTACTGACTTTCCCATATTTGTCAGTCCCGCTCCAGTGGGATCTCTCCTTCTAAGGGGCTATGTTAATAATTTCTCTCTGTAACCTCGAACCTCTTGGGGGGTGCCTGGCATAACATAAGCATGTCCATAAATGTGTCATCAGTGAACAATCACAGAAGGATGCTGCATGCTGTGGGTCTGGATCCCATAGCTGCTCTACCCTACTGAATGTTTTGTAATCACTAATTCTGAGGAAGACCCAAAGGGCACACTTGAAAAGGAAAAGTTGAAAGGATAATTAAAATATAGATCAACATCATGATTTTCAAAGACCCAGAAAACTTAGAAGGATAATTCAAGCCTTACAAAATGAAATGAAATGGGTTTAAAAATAAAATCTGCCCAGCCGGAATGGCTCAGTGATTGAACATCAGGAGGTCACCATTTGATTCCAGTCAAGGCACATACCTGGTTTTAGGCTTGATCCCCAGTGGGGTGTGCAGGAGGCAGACAACCAATGATTCATCAGATTTTTTTTAAAATAAAATGTTTTATTGATTTTTTACAGATAGGAAGGGAGAGGAATAGAGAGTTAGAAACATCAATCAGCTGCCTCCTGCACACCCCCCACTGAGGATTTGCCATCCAAGGTACATACCCTTGACTGGAATCAAACCTGGGACCCTTTAGTCCGCAGGCCAACCGCTCTATCCACGAGCCAAACTGGTTTTTGGCTCATTATTGATGTTTTTACCTCTCCCTTTCCCTTCCCTCTGAAATCTATACAAATATATATATGTATTTTTTTAATACTAAAAGTAAAATCTAGCATTCAGATTAAAAAGCTATCGTCACAAAGTATAAAACTTTCTAAAAAGTTACCCTAAATCCAGGTGCTTTTTTTTTTTCTTTCTTGAATAGATTAATGATAGAAAAGGCTATGAATCCCTGTCATCCAAGAGGGGGAAATATATATATATATATATATATATATATATATATATATATATATATATATATTTTCAGAGTCCAAATTAAGGGAGGATTTACCTCATATAGTCCACACTGGCTAGATTATATATCGTACTTTATTTCAGGAATCCATCTTAAAAAGCACTTATAAAATGTAAAAGATTCTGAAACATGATTCCAGAAAGGAAACACTAACTTCAGATGTAGAGATTGTGATAAAATCAACACAAAGGGCAAGCTAGGCAGTACTGACACCTTCCCACAACCACTTCAAAATTATAATTAAACTACAGAACAACCATCATTCAGAACCACCTGAAATATAGAAGTCCCAACTAAGGATATAAAGAAGCCACATCAACACTGATAGGAGAGATGAAGACACAGAAAGGGCTGGGCTGGTCCAACACCCATGTGTGGCACAGAAAAATCACGAGGGATACCTTGGTTGCCAAGGTTTCCCCGAGGAGCAAGGGATACCAGCCACACACCAGGGATACCAGCCACACACCAGGCCCCCCAACCCAAGGTTCCAGTGCCAGAAAGAGAAATTGCTATAAAAACCAGAAGAAATTGTGTCTGAGTGAAACAGAGGACTGCTAGAATCCCAGGCAACTCCTTTTTTTTTTTTTTTTTTTTTAAATAATATATTTTTATTGATTTCAAAGAGGGAGAAAGAAACATCAATGATGAGAGAGAATCATTAATCCGCTGCATCCTGCACCCCCTCTACTGGGATTGAGCCTATAACTCAGGCATGTGTCCTGACCAGATATTGAACTGTGACCTCCATAGATCAATGCTCAACCACTGAGCAACACCAGCCAGACCTAGGCAGTTCCTAATAAAGGGCCCAAGCACGGACTTATTCTGACTCACTTGCTCTGAGCTCCAGCATTGGGGCAGCAGCTTGAAAGGCTCCAGGGATATACAAAGAGGAACTGAATTGTCTGGCATCAGAGTGAAAGCTAGAGGGACAGCTTTCTTCCAGACAGAAGTGCTGGCAAAGGCCATTTTTCCTTTGCTTAGCTCTCCCTGCACAGAGATGTCAGACGGGTGCCATATTTGAGTCTCCTTCAACCTCCTATCACTGTCTTCGCCTCATGATTCCCTGAGACTTTTCCCACCCAACTTACAGGCCCACTCAAGCTGTTTCCAGTGACTTTTCCATAAGAATGGCATATCTTGGCTCATGCTTCAGGCTTTCCTAAATTTTTTTAAAGCAGCAGCATCTGGCCTCAACATGATTCATACCTCTTGCTAAGTAACCCCAGGCCCAATACCAGTGGCAGCAGCTGGGTTTCTCCTGAGCATCTCTAAGACCTGCTCAAGCAGCAGTCATCTACAGGTATTTTGTAGCTCATACCAGGTGGCACTGGAGAGAACATAGGTGGCAACTGACATTGGCCTGCACCCCCCATGAAGAGGCACCCATGAACAGCTTTAGATCATACTGAAGCACTACCCAACTACCCCACAGTGACACACTCAAGGGGCAGACTTAGCAGCATTGGAAGTAAATCCTCCATAAGGTGGACTCTTGCACAGCTGATCCTCCACCGTGTTTAGTAGTCACAGCCGGTCCTCATAGCCAATAAGCCCATGAGTAAATCCCTCCACTGACAAACCAATAGCAATCAAGGCTCAACTACAAGAGGGTGTAAGAGCCCACACAAGGGGTGCACTTGGATGCCACTGGACTTTACAGGACACCTACTACATCAAGCCATTCTATCAAGCCTGGGAGACCCAGCAGCTCTACCTAATATACAGAAACAAACACAGGGAGAAGGGGAGTTTGCAAAAATGAGAAGAAACATGTTCCAAATGAAACTCCAGAAAAACAACTAAACAAAATGGAGACAAGCAATCTATTAGATGCAGAATTAAAAACACTGGTTATAAAAATACTCAATGAACTTAGAGGAAAAAAATAGATGAACTTATTGAGAACATAAAAAGACATGGATACCATAAAAAAAATATACTAATTAAAATGCAGAGTAATTTACAGGGAATCAACAGTAAAGTAGATGTAGCCAAGAATCAAATCAGTGATTTGGAATAAAAGAAGCAAAACAACAAAAACAAAAAAACTCACAAAAACACACCAAATCAGAAGAACAAAAAGAAAAAAGTGTAAGGAGCCTCTGAACAACTTCAAACATACCAACATTCACATTGTGGGAGTACTGGAAGGAGGGGGGAGAGAGAGAGAGCGAGAGTGAGCGAGCACGCGAGCGCGAGCACGAGCACGCGAGCACGCACAAGTAATTGAAAACCTATTTGAAAACACAATGACAGAAAATTTCCCTAATCTGGTGAAGGAAATAGATACAAATCCAGGAAGTACAGAAGTCCCAAACAAGATGAACCCAGAGAGGCCCATACCAAGACACATAACTAAAATACAAAATGTAATCTTAAAAGCAGGAAGAAAAGTCCAACTGGTGTGGCTCTGTGGTTGAGCAGGACCTATGAACCTGGAGGTCACGTTTGATTCTCATTGGGGCACATGCTCAGGTTGTAGGCTTGATCACCAGTAGGGGATGCAGGAGGCAGCCAATTAATAATTCTCTTACATCACTGATGTCTCAATCTCTCTCCTTCTTTGCTCTCTGAATTCAATAAAAAGGTAGCAAGAAAAAACAGGTAAGTGCAGATAAGAATATCTGCAGGTTTCTCAACAGAAACTTTCAAGCCAGAAGGGATTGGCAAGAAATACTCAAAGTGATGAAAAGGAAGGACCTACAACCAAGATTACTCTACCCAGTAAAGCTACCATTGAAAATCAAAGGATAAAGGGCATCCCAGACAAGAAAAAGTTATATATGAAATGTTAAAGGATCTTTAAAAGAAAGAAAAAAAAAAGATAAAAAATATGAATAAAATGGCAATACATACATATCTGTCAACATCTAAAAGACAAAACAAATAAGCAGAGCAGAAACAGACTCATAGACAAAATGTTTTGATGTTTGCCAGATTGGGGGGGGGGGGGGTTGGGGAGATGGATCAAAAAGGGGAAGGGATTATTAGGAAGTACAAATTGGTAGTTAAGAATAGTCATGAGGATGTAAAGTACAGCAAAAAGGATATATAATAAAGAGTTAATATGCAAATGGTCATCACACCCTCAGGCCTCAGACACAACACTGGGGAGAGAGGAATGGGGACCAGCTAGGCACAAATGAGCTCCCAAGAGAGAAATGGGGGAGGGACAGGCCACCCGCCCCGTGGTTCCAGACGCCAGAGGCTGTGCCTGGGCCTGCAGCCTGGGAGAGGGACAAGCTGCACGCCCCATGGGCCCAGGCGCCAAGGGCTACACCTGCACCTGAGGCCGTAGCCAGGTCAGGGAGAGAGACAAGCCGCCCTCCCTGTGGTCCCAGGTGCCAGCGGCTATGTCTGCGCCTGTAACCCAGCCTGGGAGAGGGACAAGCCACACGCATCGTGGTCCCAGGTGCCTGCTGCTGGGACCCAAGCAAAGTCACCCAATCACAGTCCCTTGCGGCTGCAGCCAGCCCAGATCCTGTGTGCCTTTGGCCAGCCAGAGGGAGGGAATCCTGGGTCCCAGGTTTGGGGCAATCAGACCAGCAGGGGAGCAATTAGGAGTGATCAGGCTGATAGGGGAGCAGTTAGGGGTGATCAGGCAGGCAGGCAGAGGGGTGAGAGGAAATCAGGAAGGCAGGCAGGCAGGCAAGCAGTTAGGAGCCAGTGGTCCCAGATTGCGAGAGGGCAGACATCCCCCGAGGGGTCCTGGATTGGAGAGGGTGCATATGTCTAATCACTGGGTTGTACACCTCAAACTAATATAATAAATTGTATGTCAAATATAACTTAAAAATAAAAATAATTTTTAAAAAATAAAGATTACAAAATACAAATAAAGGGCAGGTGTCAACAGAAAAGAAATTAATCTCATTCAGGAAGCTCCAAAAGGCAGAGGAATAAGAGCTAGAAGTGAATGGAAACTAGCTTCAGCTCAATATGAAGACACAACTATTAGAAGTTATTTACAAATGGAACTAGCTTTGAAAAACTGGTGAGCTTCCCAAAAATGTTCAAATGAGGAAAGGAAATTACTACCAAACACAAAAAGGAAGATTCAAAGAATGACCTATTATGAACCATTCCAGTCACAAGAATGTTTCACAACTATATATTCAAACCTTATGGAAACCAATAATCACACATGTAATCATTTCATATCAGTAGTTAAGAGGCTTGAGTGCAGCTTTCTGAAACATGCCTCTCACTTTAGATGGTGCCAAATATAAAGTTCTACATATAATGGGAGGAAGGAAGGATCAATTTGGAAGGCTGGTTTAAAGCATTTCACACTCTCAGAAAATTATATCCTTGCAAGTCCTATTTTGGAATGCCAAGTGTGTTAACTTATAACAAAACCAACAGTTCTTTTTTAATGTACCTTTTCTCCCCCTCATCAGAGTCATATAAGGGAGGAACTAAAAAAATATTACCTCTCTGGAGAATGTCATGTCATCAGTAACATTTGTATACAATAGTCCCTCCTTATCCATGGTTTCAAATACCAGTAGACAACAGTGGTTAAAAAATTTTAAATGGAAATTCCAGAAATAATTTCTAAGTTTTAAATTGCATGCTGTTCTGAGTTGTGCCAGAAATCTTGCATCATTATACTCAGTCCTACCCCTGACCTGAATCATCCCTTTCATTCAGCATATCTAACTCACTTCATCACACAGGCATTGTATCATCTTGAGAGATCACATTCACGTATCTCTTATTTTAGTACACTAGAGGCCCAATGCACAAAATTTGTGCAAGAGCAGGCCTTCCTTCCCTCAGCTGCCGGCACCGTCTTCCCTCTGGCAACTGGGACCCGAGCTTCCCTTCGGCCGTTGGCAGGCACCAGGGACCTGTGCTTCCGCTGCAGCCCCCGGCTTTGCCTGGAAGGTCACCGGGAATGACATCTAGAAGATGTCTAGAAGGACATCTGGTCTAATTAGCATATTACACTTTTATTAGTATAGACTGCTAATATACTGTGCCTTATTTATAAATTAAGCTTTATCACAGGTGTGTATATAGCATAGGGAATTAACAGTATATGTAGGGTTCTGTGCCTCTGGGTTTCAGGCATCCCCTGGGGGTCTTAGAATAAAGGGGGGATGGGCGAGACACACTATTGTACTGCCCAAAAGTTTACAAAGGGCTTTCATATACATACACAAAGCTACCAGATTTGGTTCTCACGACTACCTTATGAGTTCATAAATCAAGTATTTTCACATTCATTTTGGATATAAGAAACAGTCTCGGGAAAAAGGCTAAAGTTAAACCCATAACTCTGTAACTAGTAAATACCAGAATAAAGATATCAAATCCAAGTTTTCTGACTCCAAATCCAGAATTCCCAGTTCAGTGTATTATCAATTCCATAAAAAAGAACAGTCACTAGTTTTCTATGTTACTTAATACTAATAGCCAGCTCTAAAAGATACCCAAGAGGTTATTTTTCAAAACCATAGATATGCCTACATTGGTCATCCCAGAACCATATTGAAGTGATAACAATTGAACTACTACAATTACCTACTTTTAATTTGGGGTTGGGTTGTAAGGATAGATAAGGGGACAAGGATGGCACAGGGACACAAAATATTGAAGGCAGAACTATGGGCCACTTGGTTGTGCTACAAACGATAGGCAAATAATCAACATCAATTTGAGCTATACAACAAATTAGAAAAGCTTAGTTCCTTTCCGATAAAATTCTGTTTCTAAGAGTTGGTAAATACTACGTAATAAAACAGAAATTTAAAAAAAATATATAGGTAACCCTTGAATAACACGGAGAGGTTAGAGGTGTCAACCATCAGCACAGTCAAAAATTAGCAAATAACTTAAGTCTGTCCTCCACACGTGTGGATTCCTAACCACCAGATGACCCTTGAACAATCTGGGTTTGAACTGCCTACTAGGTCAAATGAACTGCATGAGTCAACTGGGAAAAAAATCTGTGTGTAAGTGGGTCTGCACAGTTAAAACGCACATTGTTCAAGGGTCAACTGTACTTAAGCCACATATGAAGAACTTCTCCCTAGGTTTCTTTTCATGTTCCATAGTAAAAGACATAGAGAAAATGCTCAACATACTTTTGCAATAAGACAAGGTAAAGTTTATACCTCACTGATAAAAGCACAAGAAAAAGAACAAGTTTGATTTAAAACATGTATTTCTCTGCTTTATGAATAGAAAATTCAATAAGGAAGATAATCTTAGACAAGTCATTTTTAATATGAACAATTCTTATTCTACCACTCTATCATGGATGCATGATCCTTAAAATACTTCGAATTCAATTTTGTTAAATATTAAAAAATAAATAATACATCCTAAATTTATCAAAATAATTTTTTAAAACCTAGTTAAAAAACTACTTACTATTTGAAGTTTGATCGTTTTCCCATCTAACTCTATAGTTCTTATTTTGAAATCCACACCAATAGTGCTGATGTAACTTTCTGTATACGTATCATCCTGAAAAAGAAACAGTTCATGATTAAAATTAATGTTTAATACTAGAGTAAATAAGAAAACAGTGCTAACTTTTACATATAAAGCTGATAAAGCTAAAAGGTCTAACTGTCAATACAGTGAAAAAGGCAAATCTTTTTTTTCTTTTTAGTACTAAATATTTACTTAGTAAATCCTAACAGCTTAGTATTATTAATAGTTTCGATCTCACGGACAACCCACTGAGAGAGTCTTGATAATCCCCAAGGGCCTTTAGTCCACACTCTGAGAACCAAAGATCTAGACAGTGAGATGGAAAACATGCTAAATTTGAAGGCAGTTGATAAACACTATAAAGGAGACTGTGAAATCATTAGATTGAAAAGTCTTTTATCTGCTTATAAATCTCAGCATATAGAGCACCATTGTCAAAATGTGCCAGGCCCTACTTTTTCTTTTCTTTTTGTGAAACTTTTACTTGAAAATTTGTTTTCCATCAAGTCGCTTTCAACACAGGCCAACTGTTTTCCCCTTAACTTACTACCCATGTTGGAATTAAACATTGTATGACCTCTACCAAGACTATCACTCTGATTTTATAAAACACACTTTGCTGAATTTCTTTTAAGAATAACAGCATTTCTTTTATTTAAGACTCAAAGGTATCACTAGGGGTGTATACTTGGAGACCTTAATATGTAAATTCTGGAAGACTTAATTTATTGTGAATAAAACAGCTTAATCGTTTGTCTACTAGAAAATGTACACAACATTAATTTCTTTAAAGGCATTTCAATTTCAACTTACTGCAAACCTAAGAAGGAGGCAAGACTTTCCAACTCCAGAGTCTCCAATCAGAAGTAACTTGAATAAGTAATCACTGCAAAAAGAAAACAAAAATCACATTAATAAAAAGCATATTATAAAAAAAAGCATATTATATTTTAAAAATTGCAACAAAAATATACCAAGAACAATTAACAGCTCACTGAAGAAGACTACAGCTCTTGAAAAGACTATGAATAGCTTCAGAGAAGCCAAATTTGCAACCAACAGCAGAAGCTCTTTTGATGAATCACTACACAGGATGGAATTATCTAAAAGTAAAATAAGTAATGCCACCAATGATCTGAGATCAGTGAACTACTTCCAAGGAAAGAATGAAATAAAATGTAAGTGATATGCATTCTTGGAGAGCCCATAAAACTATTAGATAAATCCCACTCCCTTTATAATATTAGGATACAGAGTTAACTTTCCATTGCTCTTGCCAATAAAATAAATCTCTCCTCCTAATTCCAAGATCAAATCATTTTTTCATAGCAATTTTCCAAGGGGCTTTTATAATCTTTTATAATCTTTCCCTAGCATCTTTTTAAGTTCTCCCTTAAAAAAAGGGGGGGGGGGGGTCATTTAACTTCTGGTAACCTTATATGATAAATATTTTAAACTAAAGATGTGGTAAAATCAAAGACTGTTTGGCTGGCTGAGTGGTTGAGCATAAACTTATGAATCAGGAGGGTTGGGGGTTAGATTCCTGGTCAGGGCAGATGCCTGGGTTTCAGGCTCGATCCCCAGTAGGGGACATGCAGGAGGCAGGCAAATTCTCTCTCCTTCTCCCTTCCTCTCTGAAATCAATAAAAATATATTTAAAAAGGCTGTTTTATGAAAACACACAACATGACGAACATTCTAAGTTTGTATTAAAGCATTCTTCACAAAACATTGAAAGCTAGGCTCTGTTTATGTACACTGACCATTGCCAGGCCTGACACAAAGACCATTCCCAGAGATTCCTTTATGGGCCTAACGACAACAGACTATCTGCTCATGGTTTCCAAAGGAATCCTTCACAGATCCTTCCAAATTCTGACCAATTCTATATGTTCTTTTAAGTAATTTCAAAAGGTTAAAATGATCCAGAATTTACAGTTTATTATTTTAGAAGACAGACCAGTTTCAATTTTGTTCTTTGTGATTTTGTTTTGAAAAAATGCTACTTATGTAATGTGAAACCCAAATATCATTCACAATTTAAACTAGATTACAATTATCATATTTACATGTAAGCAAGATGTTAAACTTTTAACAGTAATTATCTTTTTGAATCTTCATTATTACCCAGGCTTAACTGTAATATGTGTTACTTAAAACATCTTTTTGGTTATACCAAGTTACCAAAGTACACTTATTATCCCCAATTATACCTCAAGGAAAGGGAAGAGGGAATCCAAAGTGCTCTAGTCAGTAGCAAAATAAGGTTCACAAAAAGAAATAAGCAGCTTTTAAACGAGTAATTAAGAATGGAATTGAAGCACAGGATGAACTAAATAACTAATAGCCTTTTCAATTTGATGTCCTAATGAAAAAAAGGGGGGGAGAGCTAATGATTGTAAAATTTTACCCTTAATAAATGATTAATACATAATACTATACAACTTTTATTGGGCAGTACAGTTTCTGACTCACTTTAGCACTACTGATAGCTTCCTTTTTAATTAGATTAAATTCTTAAGAATGCTGAACATCAGCAATGAGTAGGTACGTGTTCTACATTTCAGACCTGGCTGGCGTGGCTCAGTGGTTGAGGGTCTACCTATGAACCAGGTCACAATTCGATTCCCTGCCAGGATACATGCCCACGCTGTAGAACTGATGCCCAGAGTGGGCTGTGCAGGAGGCTGCCAATTAATGATTCTCTCTCAACACTGATGTTTCTCTCTCCCTCTCTCCCTTACTCTCTCTGAAATCAATAAAAACATATTTTTTAAAAAAGAATTTACATTTTGGTTAGCAAGAATAATCGCACCATTGATACCACTATAATTACTTAGTTTTTAACAGAAATTTCAACACAACAGATGCTCTGAATTTGTCACTCTCCCTCAGCACAGTGCCAGGCATCCAGCAGACATTCAATTAACATCCCTCAAATCAGCTGTACTGGAGCCTGTTACAATAAAGGACAGCCTTGAGCCACAGATGCTGCCCAAGGTAGCATCATTACCTACATAAGACTCTAGTTAACACAGGTTTGAACTGCACAGGTCCATTTTTACATGGATTTTTTAAATCCACATTGTCCATGGATCAACAGCTGAGAATTTGCATACGCAGAGGATCCACTTAAGTTATATGCAGATTTCATACTGTGCCATTGGTTCAAGGGTCAATGGTATTTTGTTCTCTCCCAAACCATTACTAACGTGACAAGAAACATGGTGAAAGGCAAACAAAGTCAAACCCACAAACTTCTTTCCTTTATTGAATATACACACCAAGAAAATGTTTCTTGTATTGGGACATTTTAAATAACCATTTTTTTTAATTGTGTACACACATAAAACATTTGGAAAAAATTGACACTTCTAAGTTATAGTATTATAATTGATTAATATTTTTCTTTATATTTTTTAACAGTCTGCAGTAAGCCTGTGTTACTTTTATTTTTAAAATATATTTTATTTATTTTTTACAGAGAGGAAGGGAGAGAGATAGAGAGCTAGAAACGTCAATGAGAGAGAAACATCGACCAGCTGCCTCTTGCACACCCGCTGCCGGGGATGTGCCTGCAACCAATGTACATGCCCCTGACCGAAATCGAACCTGGGACCTTTCAGTCCGCAGACCGACGCTCTACCACTGAGCCAAACTGGTTTCGGCAAGCCTGTGTTACTTTTATAACCAAAAAAGATGTTGAGGGGAGAAAACATTTTTTAAATGAAAAGGTTTGTTCAATGACTTAACACCCTTACAAGTTCATTCAGCTCACCTGCCATAACACAAGTGATTTCTAGGTAGGTAGAATAGGTCAAGATTGTAAGCAAATAGCATTGGCACATTTGCAATATAGTCACAACTATAACTTTTTGGATTAAATGAGAATTATTTTTCTTATTTTATGCAATAAAATTTGGATTATTAGACATAATTCACAGGTCAGTGAATATTTTACAAGAGAAAGTTGATGGGCATTAACACAACTTTCAACATTCCACCCAGTGGATAGAGCATCAGCTTGTGGACTGAAGGGTCCTGAGTTCGATTCCAGTCAAGGGTTATAGGCTCAATCCCCAGTGTGGGATGTACAAGAGGCAACCATTTCCACCCTTTGAAAAGATATACCAAGAAAAGATAGTCCAGCCAGTGTGGCTCAGTGTTGAGCATCACCTTATGAACCAGGAGGTCATGGTTCAATTCTCAGACAGGGCACATACCTGGGGTGTGGCTCAATCCCCAGTGTGTGTGTGTGTGTGTGTGTGTGTGTGTGTGTGTGTGTACAAGGCAGCCAATTAATGATTCTCATCATTGATGTTTCTATCTCTCTCTCCCTCTTCCTTACAATAAATCCTATATAATAATCATATATAATAAAGAGCTGATATGCTAATTAGACCAACAACAGAACGACTGTCCAGACAAAGCCAGGGCTGTTAGGGCCGTATGAGGCAGCCAGGACTGTGAGGGCTGAGCCCTTGCACGAATGTTGTGCATCGGGCCTCTAGTTTATTATAATGAAACAAAGCAAAAAAGACAGAAGTAAAGCAGAAGATGACTATAAATAATGTCTAGTCATCTAATCAAACACTAGCCCAAAAATACAAATTTTCTACTATCAGTTATAAGTATACCTTTAAGGCTCTAGCCAGTTTGGCTCAGTGGATAGAGCATCAGCCTGTGGACTGAAGGGTCCTGGGTTCGATTCCAGTCAAGGGTTGCAGGCTCAATCCCCAGTGTGGGATATACAGGAGGCAGCCAATTAATGATTCTCATCATTGATGTTTCTCTCTCTCTTCTTCTCTGAATAAAAAATATATATTTTTTAAAAAGGGGGCTGCTATTTTTAAAAGTTCAATGAAAACTAAAATTTGTTCTCTTTCACCTAGAACTAATTTACCTGCATGATAGGAACCATGTTATTTTACCTTTTATTAATGTCCTACTTGGAAACAGCCTAAAAACTAGATTCACATCAAATTTAAAACAAAATCATGTTTATGGTATTAATGTGTAGTGGCCAAATAAACTTTAATTCACTATTAAACTACATACTATTTTATTAGCCTTTGGGGTATGGAATAACTAATAAAAATTGCAGTAATTGTGTCTAACATAAACTTTCCTTTTTCACTCACTTTATCCTCTACAGAACACAATCCAAAATTGACCATCAGGAGAGAGGAGAGGCAAGAACTTTTAGTTACTTCATATGTTTTTATATTATCTGAATTTTATAGAGCACATATTAGTTTTATGGTTAAGTAAAAGTAAATAAAACTTCAGCTATGGACAAAAGCAGCCTGTTAATCAAAATAAATAGAATAATCGATTGCCAAGTTTAAGGAAAGAGCCAAACAATTTTTAAAAAACTATTCCTATAATCAACCCTTACAACTACATGTTTTTCTTTGATATTTGGAGACAAATATCAAACTATTCCTATAATCAACCCCTACAACTACATGTTTTTCTTTGATATTTGGAGTCAATAGATTAATTCTCCAGGTTCCATTTTAGCTATTTAGAACAGTGTTCCAAAAATTAAAAATGGGACTCTGAAAATGAGGGTAATTTTGATAGTACTGAAAGAAGTGGCAAGTCATGCAAAAAAAAACAATGACTAGTCTTACAACCAAATACTTGCTGAGAAACATACCAAGGAAGATGTGTAAATGTCCTCTACATCTTGACCATTCAAATCCTGCATGGTTTTAAAGATGAAAAGACCTGCATTTGAATTCAAGTACCATTGCATACTAGCTATGATTGAGGTAAGGTACTCACCAATTTCCTCATCCGTGAAAAGGTTCTATTAGAACACTCTACCACCCAATTGGGCTTCTTGCAAGGATTAGAAATAATGCCTCGAAAACCTCTAGC